TCGGCCGTAGCTTCTTATGCACAACAACGTCCTGCATGTCCTCCAGAGACGGATGAAGACCTGCCTCCTCCTCAAACGGCAGACAGAACTCATCCACGGGCCCTGAGACACACACATACACACACGGATCAGTCCCGGTTTATCCCATGACTTCACCTGAGTGTGAGTGAATGGGTGTTTGTTACCGTCGGCTGCTGTGCAGCGAGAGGCCATTTCCCACAGCACCAGACCCGCGGCGTACATGTCGATCCTCAGAAACGCGTCACGCTGGAAACTGATCGCTCCCTCCAGCACCTCCGGAGCCATGTAACGCCGCGTTCCCACCTTCACACAACCAATCAAACCTCAGCAATGAATAATTAGCACTTGAAATCTGTCACCGTTAAGCACTGGTCAGTGAAGTTTTGAGCACATGCAAAAATCATACCTGTCCGTGTGTGTCGCCTGTAGATTTCCCTGCTTCAAACTTCAGTGCCAGGCCAAAGTCAGCAATACATGCAGTTAAATCATGCTTCACTAACACATTCTTACTCTTGATATCTCTGAGAGAGAGAGAGAGAGAGAGTTTAAGTTACAAAGTAGGGACTGGGGTTTGTGAAAAAGTTTAGAGAAAAATGGTGTAAAAATAAAGAATATATATAAAAATAATACACCTAAAAGTACATTACTATAATGAGTAGAGAAAAAAACATTTATGATGATAATAATAATAATAATAATGTAACTTAACTGAAACTAAATATTTTCCAAACCATATAAATTGGATCTTTATACAAGAAACTAAATTAAATTTTAGGATGAGGGGCCCTCACTACAAAAATAAATTAATAATAATAATAATAATAATAATAAATTAATGAATCAAATTATTAAGTAAATAAATATATTTTAGATTAAAATAAAAAATAAGTATATAAATAAATAAAAAACATTCAACATTCAAAAAAATTATAAAAATCAATATGCTAGAAAAATACATCAATAAATAAACAAAGAAGTATATAAATAAATAAATACCCCAAAACAATCTAACAGTAAATTACTGTAATGAGTAAAAAAAAATTGAAACTAAATATTTTCCAAAGAAACTGTACACATTTTATTATGCAATTTTTATTATAAATTTTTTTACAGTATAAACTGGGTCTTTTTACAAGGCTGTTAATTTTAGGATGGGGGTCCCTCACACAAGGAAGTTTGGGGGTCCTTTGCATCTAAAAGACATTGTGTACCTGTGTGCAATGGCAGGCTTGTGTCCGTCCTTCAGGTTGGGAATGTCCTCGTGTAAATACGCCAAACCGCGCACAAACGTCTGCGATATCAGACACAGCTCATTCCACGACACAACATTAGCCTTCAGGAAATCTGTCAGCGAGCCCTGAGAACAAACACACGTGCAGATGATATCAAACATGTGGCACAGTGAGGTCATGTGACAATAATGTACAATAATACTGTTTCAAACGTTTACCGCTGCATATTACATATTTTGTAAATATTCAGAATTTTACATTGACTGTAGTGAACCTTATGCAGTATTCTGAATAAAGCTGATGACAAACACTTCTGTACCTGTGTGTGTGTGTGTGTGTGTGTGAGAGAGTGTATGAGTAAGTGTGTGTGTGTGAGTGAGTGAGTGTGTGTGTGTGTGAGAGAGAGAGAGTGTATGAGTATGTGTGTGTGTGTGTGTGTGTGTGTGTGTGTGTGTGTGTGTGTGAGAGAGTGTGTGTGTGTGTGTGTGTGTGTGTGAGAGTGTGTGTGTGTGTGTGTTTACACCTTCTCATGGTAAGCTGTGATGAGCCAGAGCTCGATATCGACTCCATTTCCTCGTTTTTCCGCTCCGATGAAGTGAAGGATATTTTCATGTTTCATTCCGCTCAAGCTATAAATCTCATATTCACTCTGCCATGACTGTTTATTCTGAGAGAGATCACAGATAAACACATGCAAAATCAACAACATTCAAAGTCTTTGTAAGTTTGTCCATTTACAAACAATTGTGATGCACATCAATATTTTTTTTAAACATGACATTTTGAAGTAGAAAGACTTAAGTTGTATTTTCTTGTAAAACATCCAATAATCTTTGTTTTATTTACAATTCAGGCATTTTTAAGTGTGACTTAAGTGTCCAAATATATTTTGGCACCACTGTATATACAGTATAGGTGCATCAGTTGATTTCTGTATTCATGTGCCGAGGTGTAAACAGACTGATGAACTATATTACTTGAAGGATAGGTGCTTTGTTATGACTATATTGTTATTAATTATTTGTTGAACATTGGGGTGCTTTATCACTGCTGTTGCTGTTGTTTTATAAAAGCAACTAGATTTACATTTCCAGAGTGTTTGCAATGTAAATAGGTGCAAAAGACAATTGCAATTCAGTATGTAAATATTACAATGACTTTATCGCTGTTGAATGCTGAACATTGCATCACTTTACCAATGTGAATTTTATAAACATTTAAACAACAGTTTACAAAAGCAAAGACTAAAACTACACTGTACATTTTTTTCATTGTATGCATTTTGAACTGTAAAAGATGAAAAATGAAAATGCTCATTAAAAACTACATTATGACTTTTTGATGCAAGAAGCCATGACTAACATAGATGGACCTCTAGGGAATAAAAAAAAAACTGTACAAAGGTGTAGATTATGATTCATTCGATCATTTTTGAGCTTGTAGAGTTTTGTAACATTTTAAATTACAGTACAATGAAATGTATTTTCAAGCTGAATTAATGGCAGAAGCTTAATATTCTGGGTTAGAGGTTTATAACAAACACTAACCATCATTTTTGAAGTATATCAATGCAGAGATTCAGAGCACAATAATAAACCACCCAGTTTTGAGTTACATTATGGCAGCAGTATGCATTGGTCTTTTATGCTGAGGCTGAAGAGGCAAAAATGCACAAACAGTAATGAGATGAAACGTGTCAGATTTATACAGTCTATGGCCGAACACTGTGTCCTGTTCTTCTGAACTGATGCTTTGTTCCTGCTGAGCAGCTGCTTTTTTGCCCAGAGAAGCGTGCGTTTGTGTGTGTTTGTGTCTGAGCGGTGTGAAGTGTGTGTTACTCACTCTGAATCATCTCTGGACTGTAGTGAAACTTCTCATTGCACATGTTTCCCTCGCAGCAGCAGAAGAAGACGTCGGGATTCTCCTTACGCTCCACACACTCGCTGCTGCACACACACACAGATAACATGTGTCATCGTCGGTTCACTACAAAACAGAGTCATCCGAGCATGCATCTGCTCGTACCTGTCGTAGCAGTTAACATCGTCCAGCCAGCAGCCCTGCTTCACCATCTCGATGGCTCCGGAGCGGTTCTTCCAGGTGGAGAAACAGTGTTGTCGCTTGTCTTTCTCTCCGTAGCATGATTCGATTCCGCTCTGGTTCGTCCCGTCCTTCTCCCAGCTCACATTATAAAACGCACACTCCTGCGTCTCCGAGCGCCCGAGAATCGCACCTGAAGCAGTTTCCCTCGCAGCAGCAGAAGAAGACGTCGGGATTCTCCTTACGCTCCACACACTCGCTGCTGCACACACACACAGATAACATGTGTCATCGTCGGTTCACTACAAAACAGAGTCATCCGAGCATGCATCTGCTCGTACCTGTCGTAGCAGTTAACATCGTCCAGCCAGCAGCCCTGCTTCACCATCTCGATGGCTCCGGAGCGGTTCTTCCAGGTGGAGAAACAGTGTGTCTATTTGTCTGTTTAAGCAACATAACAGAGGCTCATTGCATATCAAATCTTAAAAGTACAGTACACTGTAAAAAAAAAAGATCTTTCATAGTTGTACATAAAGCAGGTTATTGGAGTACATTTTCAAGAAAATACTATTTCAAAGTTTCACATTTAATTCAGTGTCACTTGTCATTTCTGTGTAATTATTTGTAACATTTACTAGTGATTTCTGAGGGAAAATTGCTTCTACTCCACATTTATTTTACAGTGTTTCAACAATTCAAAATCTTTTAACATTTATAAATGTCTTTCAATCAAATCAATTTAATGCATCCTTGATGAATAAAAGTGTTAAGTTGTATATTAATCTTACTGCCTCCAAACTTCTGAACAATACTAGATACATGCGCAGGAATGCCTGAGTGTGTGTGTGTGTGTGTGTGTGTCAGGGAAGGGCTTGTATTTCATCCACAACAGCTCATTGAAGGGAAGGAATGCTAGAAAGGCGAGACGTGGAGAAATCGGACATTTCTGCTGACAGACGTCTTTGACCTCTCAATAATTCAACACGCTGAACAGATTTCTATTCACTTCAGCCCACTGAACATTCACCGAATTCCACGCAAGCGTCGCTGAGACACAAACATGAAAAGCCTTCATTGGGCTGCAGGGCAGAGACGTGTGGTTATGAAATAATTATGAGCTTTCAGAGTAATAGTCGGACTTACTTTCATAAATCACAGGATTAAAAGGCCGACAGGCACTGATCTCTCACACAATGTTATTGAGCTTGTTCCGTTTTCAGCCGGTGGAAATATTTCAGCGCTGCATCATTTCTTTCCTAAATGTTACTTTCGTTCTTCTGGAGTCACGTGTGAGTTTCTGAATGGTGTGTTTGTGCCTGAGGAACCTTCTGATGTCTCGACATGTGTCTGCCTTCTCATTAAGAGTCCTATATCTTCTCTTAATCACCTCAGTTAAGATAAAAATCATCAGTCTGACATATTCCACTGAAGTCAATGCAAAGCTTTTATCAATCCCTTTAATGTTTTCTTTTTGAAATCTGAACATGAACATTAAATCATCTGCATTACCACACAAGAACAGTGCCTTATAGCTGTCTCCGCATATTAAACTGGGAGTATTTAAAAAATAATAATCACACATAAACTAAATAAATAAATCATAATATATAAATATATATATTTTTTTTTTGGCTTGCATTCTAAAAGTGGATATTATTAGTATTAGTGCACTACATTTGTACTTTGAATGTCATTTGTCTACATTAGTGTCAGCCACTGTGCGCTGATACCAGCGGCTCCTTTAGTCAGGAATAAGGAGGGAGAAGCACAATGAAGCGCTCGTACTCTCAGTAATGAGCTAATGAAGCCGGACACTAGGCCTGCTGGGACAGACGTGTAAATCAGGAGGAGGCACTCACATTTACAAGAACTACTGCAGAAACCTCGCAGAGAGCCAAATCCAATACACAAAATCAATGCGCTGCCTCAGACGCTGAGCGTACTGTACAATCAGCACTAAAACCCACACAGATTCACAACCCGGGAATAACTGAGGATACAAATGAGAGCAAAACAGCAGAAAGCAACACTTCATCATCTACAGAGAGCAGATCTAATGAGGCGCCTCCACAATCAAACAAACTAAAGTCATGCAAAACTGTATTGCAAGTGTGTTATGCTGAGATAAACATGTCAGCTGAACTAATATATACCCCCTAAAATTTTTTATAAATTCAATTAAGCAATATAATCGAAGCAAGAGTCCTGTTAGTCCAAATATCAGCACAAGACCACAGGTTCACATTTAAATTGGGCTTTTTACTTTTTTATAAATACCTTTTCTATAAGGGGTGTAGGAACCTTAAAAGGTTTTTTTTTTTTTTACTTTATTTTATTTGACTTAAGTGGGAACAGGGCCATTTCTAGTTATGGTCAGAAACAACCCTGATTAGAGATGATAATTTTGGTTATAATCATCCTTTAAGAGCTTTGTGTTGCTTGGTCGTAAAATTAACGTTAAAAAAGGCCAAACTGAAACATCTATCTAATATCTACATAACATTGGTAACATTTAATCTAATAAGCAAATGCACAAATGTCTAGCTAATCAGCTATGTGTGACATGTCATGTCTCCTAATTAATGTTTGTTTAAATGTTTAAATGTAAATGTAAGTCAGCATTAGTATTTCTATCACAATCTCACAAACACCCTACTCAACCCCGTTTGGTGAACGCTATCCTAACTTTTAGCAGACACTTTTATCCACAGCGACTTACAAATGAGGAACTTCCAAGAAGTTTGTCATACAAGTCAGTAATAGCTCACAATGCCAAGTTAAAAGCATAAACTAGATTAGCTCAGAAAACAGGAAACTTTCCAAGTCACGCAGTGCATATAAACTCTGAACTT